CTGGCCTTGAAATCCTGGGCTCAAGTGATCCTCCTGCCTCAGCCTCCAGAAGCGTTGAGATTATAGATGTGAGCCACTAGACCAAGTCCACAGGGAGTTTAGATGCTAACTTGGGGACTTAAAGTAATTAGTCTCCAAAAGGAGTACAAGTAAGCATTTGAGAATATACTTTAAAAGAAGACCAACTTCCTATTTAAAATAGTGATGATATATTAACTTCTCATCATGGGAAATACAGCTTCCTAAAACTTACTACCAGACAGTTCAAATAAACTGAATGCAAAGAAAGAAACAGAGAAAGGAATAGGTGACAGGAAGGGAGAGAGAAAGAAAGAAAGGAGACAGACACAGAAGCAAAGCAAATGTGGCAATACTTTCAAAAAACATGTTAACATAGATGTATGAGATGACTACACTGTACATGCGTATATCACTGCATTAAAGAATGTAAAGCTAACACAAGTGAAACAGCTCAAAAGAAAAAGTCAGAGGACCCTAACGGCTCAATCACTGTGGAGGGCTAACCTGGCTGCACCCCAGACCAACCAAATCAATTTCCGGGGCTAGAATTCAGGCATCAGTATTTCGTAAAGCTCCTCAAGGGATCTAAAAGTACAACCAAGATTGAAAACTACTTGCCAGGCATGGTGGCTCATGCTTGTAATGCCAGCACTTTGGAAGGCTGAGGTGGGAGGATCACTTGAACCCAAGAGTTCAAGACCAGCCTGGGCAACAGAGGGAGACCCTGTGTCTACAAAAAATTTTCAAAAAATTAGACAGGTGTGATGGTGTGTGCCTGTAGTCCCAGCTACTGGGGCAGCTGAGGTGGGATTGCTTGAGCCTGGGAGGTAGAGGCAGCAGTGAGCTATGATTGCAGCACTGCACTCCAGGCTGGGGCACTGAGCAAGATGGAAAGAAAAAGAAAAAAAAAGAAGGCTGGGCGCAGTGGCTCATGCCTATAATCCCAGCACTTTGGGAGGCTGAGGCAGGTGGATCACCTGAGGTCAGGAGTTCAAGACTAGCCTGGCCAAAATGGTGAAACCCCATCCTCTACTAATAATACAAAAAAATTAGCTTGGCATGGTGGCGCACGCCTGTAATCTCAGCTACTCAGGAGGCTGAAGCAGGAGAATAGCTTGAACCCAAGAGGTGGAGGTTGCAGTGAGCCAAAATCGCACCATTGCACTGCACTCCAGCCTGGGCGACAAGAGCGAAACTCCGTCTCAGGGAAAAAAAAAAAAAAAAAACCAAAGAAAAGAAAAGAAGCAAGGAGGGAGGGAGAAAGGGAGAGAGAAACAAAGACAGGAGAGAAGAGAAGACCATTGCCCTAAACGTTGGGAGTAAAAAAGCAATAAAAAGATGAATTCAACACATTTACAAGTTTTCCAAACTGCAAAAAATTCTCATTTGAAATATAAATAATGAAATACATTCTTTGAGCCGAATGGTCTTTACTGTTACCACCAATTTTAAACTGATTAAAATGTTAACAGACCCTCTCTACAACTGGTCTTTGGTACTTATCTGATCTATGATATAATTTGCAGTAGCAACTTATCAAGGCTTAGATTATAAGAACCTTATAAACTGTAAGAATCCGACTATGCATGATCTTAGTTTTACGTATGTAAGCACTACCCTAGTTTTCATTCACTCTCATAATTAAACACAAATATTCCAGGATGCCAATTACACCATGCAATAGTGTCAAGGTGACACAACCTAAAATACCTTGTTCCTGAGAAACTGGAATTCAGTCAAATTTCCCATTACCAAAATTAAACATTTTAGAAAGAGAAAACAAAATCCAAAAATTCTAAATCTGACTTACGATCAAGCATATGCTTGGCATATGTGATTTTACAAAATGTGATAATTTTACAAAACTGTATTAAATGCTGTATTATAGGACAGGCACAGTGGCTCACGCCTGTAATCCTAGCACTTTGGGGGGCCACGGCAGGCGGATCACCTGAGGTCAGTTGTTCAAGACCAGCCTGGCCAACATGGCGAAACCTCATCTCTACTAAAAATACAAAAATTAGCCAGGTGTGGTGGCACACGCCTGTAATCCCAGCTACTCGGGAGGCTGATGCAGGAGAATCGCTTGAACCTGGGAGGCGAGGTTTGCAGTGAGTGGAGATCATGCCTCTGCACTCCAGCCTGGACAACAGAGCAAGCCTCCATGTCAAAGAAAAAAAAAATGCTGTGTTATGCTGGTCTAAGTCTTTTAACTGTAGAAAACAATGAAACATTTTAGTCAGGTTACTTTTATACACAATTAATGGTCAACTCGGAGTCACCATTCATCATCGCTTTAAGAAAAAAAAATTTTTTTGGCATAACTACACTGTCTTCTAGACCAACAAAATAAGAGAAATCCAAACATACATAATGAGCATTGAAATGGCTAATACAAGATGCTTAAAGAACCAGTCACTCTAAAAAAAAATCACTGAATTAAAAATGAAAAAAATGGTTAGTCATGAACTAGAGAGGGATAAAATGAAGCAAGTTTAAACATCGGCAGAACAACATGTTTTCACCAAAACAGGCAAAAATTTAGACAAGCCTAAATATGCAATTTAAATATAATGAACCCTGCAGATTCTGTAGGGTTAACCTCCCTAGTAGAGGCCTCAGTAATTCACACCTCAATTAGAATAGTGCCTAATGATGTTACTATAACACTGGCTCAATCAGAAAAAAACTGCTTCCAAGTGAGAGAGCTGGAGTGTAACTGGGCAGCGTAAATTAGGTTAATTCTTGCTCCTTAATTTGGGGGGGAAAGAAAAACTGAAGGGGAATACAGAAAAAGAATTCACACACAATCACTCGACTAAAATGTAGCTTAAGAAAGTGAAGCACAGGCTTTTAAAAATCATTCACGTAAAACTTATTCCAATTTTTTTTTTTTTTTTTTTAAACGGAGTCTCACTCTGTCGCCAGGGCTGGAGTGCAGTGGCGCGACCTCTGCTCACTGTAAGCTCCGCCTCCCGGGTTCACGCCATTCTCCTGCCTCTGCCTCCCAAGCGGCTGGGACCACAGGCGCCCGCCACCAGGCCCGACTAATTTTTTGCATTTTTAGTAGAGACTGAATTTCGCCGTGTTAGCCAGTATGGTCTCGATCTCCTGACCTCGTGATCCGCCAGCCTCGGCCTCCCAAAGTGCTGTGATTACAGGCGTGAGCCACCCCGCCCAGCCAACTTACTCCAAAATATTTCAAAGTGACTTTCTCAGTACAAATTTTCATTAAGTCTGAAAAACATTTGCAGTTTGGTTTTTTCTAAACTCAAGATTTACACTGAAGGCAGTTACCTAAACAGACATACACTCTCACCTCAAAAATAAAAATCTAAGATGCAATAATTCTTTAAAACTCACCCAAAAACCTGGAAAGCAAAGAAAAAGCCACTTCTATTAATAGTCACAAAATGTTACAACAATTTTTATCTAAAGAAGCTTTTAGTTTTAATTCCAACAACTTAAAACCTACATAATTCACCACTATCTTTAGATCTAAAGCTACTCCAAATTATAAATGCTTGGCCTATCTATCTCTATTACATTTGTTCTGTAACAAACCCATTTAAGTAAACAAAATCATGACAGCATTATGGAAGAAACACTAATTTAAAAAACTGTATTTTTAAATGTTAATCATTTTACAGTTTGGAATATTATGTATTAATCATATCAGAACTTTCCAATATAAAGTCCTCAGCATCAAAAAAAAAAAAGGTACATTTTAGAACTTCCTATATTTCAACTGAAATGTATATATTTAGTCTCCGCAGGGTATGGCAAAAGCAATTTATGAAATCCATCATAAAAACTATTCAAATGCCATGTTCTAAATCTAATTACGAAATTATGCATTTCATTTTTTTTTTTTTTTTAGAGACTAAATGGTTTTTGCCAGCAGAAAGTAGTGAACCTACTTCTTAAACACCCGAGTAACCAAGCTGCTAGTAAGACTAAAAGGATGCTAATTCTGGCAAAAGTCAAAGGTTATTAACAAAAATTAGCTAAGACCATATGTTTGCAGAAAGGCAATTTCAGGATAATTCCCCTATTATCCTGTTGTATTTATTATTCCTAAATAACTGGCAATTCCATCTTAAACTACGGTGCAAAAACTAAATGCATTAAGAAACTAATTTGGAAATAATAGTTTCCAAATTATAATGCATAATAAAATGGTTTTTTTTTAAATAAAAACAAACGTACTTAGGTTTTTGAGGGGAAACAGCTATCAATCTTCAATAGGGCTTTTTAAAGCCTCTGCACCAGCAAATAAACTTTTCACGTTAACTACACACTTGTCCCTTTGAAAATCCAGTTTGAGAAATCCTAACAGCAGTTTGGGACAAGTGATGGAGCCACCGCCCTCCACCCTACACCAATTTCACTCTCAGTACATGTAGTGCTAACAGTAAGATCAACTATGTCTTTTAATAGGAAGCATGTTTTATTGGGGGCAAGGAGGGGTTCAGTTAGGTGCTAAGAATGTGTCCTGCATACCGCCGTCACTCTCAATACTCAAAAAGTAAACATATCAAAGCCAGAAGCGTAAACTGGCATGACAAGACTAGGAAGAGAAAGTAGGGGACAAAGAGAAAACCGAAATTGGCTGGAGAAAATAAATTAAGACAAACAATTTACAACTTTCATTTAGACCCTAAGGCAACACATTCCAACCGACCCAACGCGCTCAGCCGGGGCGACCGTGAAACTACTCGAGAACAACAAAGAGGAGCGGCGGCCGCGGCAGGAGTCCCGTCTGACTTTAACTTGATTCTCCCACGAGCTGCAAACGAAGCTGGGGGCCGGACGGAGGCCAGGCACCGCCGCCCGGCCCGGCTCGTCAGGCGGCCGCGGTCGCCCTCCCAGCGGATTCCGCGCGCTCCCCGCCGCCGCCGCAGCAGTCGGGAGCCCGCCCCGGGGCGGGGAAGCCGCGGGCGGGGTGCGCGGGCCCGGCCGGGGGAAGGGGAGGGGACATGGCGCGGTTACCTGGGATCGGGCGGTGGCGAGGGGAGTCCGCTCTCCCGCCGCTGCTGGTCCGCGGACGCGCCGGGCCCGTCGCTTTCCCCGGCGGCCCGGAAAGCTCCTCGGCCCCCGCCCCGAGGCGTCCCGGCCAGGCCGCCCCTCCTCAGTGCCGCGCCGCTGCCCGCGCGGGCCGGACCGCCTCGAGCTCCCGGGCCGCCCCGCGGCGGGGGGCCTCTCTCGCTGGGCGCCTGGCTCCCCTCACCCGCTCCCACCCCCTGGGCGGCCGCGGAGCCGAGGGGAGGGCGGGAAGGGCCTCCCGAGGAGAGCAGGAGGGCGCGAACGCAGGCTCCGCCACCCGAGCCGCTCCGTTACCGCAGCAGCGACGACGACCAGGGCCGTGTTGTTGCTGCCAACTTGTCGAGAACACACTGAGCATGCGCGCGCGGGGACCACATCCGGGTAATTTCAGGGTTTGGCCCTTTTTCCCCGCAGCTTTCCTTTCTCCCGGCTGTCGCCGCCTCCCGCCCCAAGTGACGGCGAGAGTCGCTCTGCGCAGGCGCCTGCAGGGGCAGCGCCAGCCGAGGGGCGGCTCTGAATCCCGGCCTGGGCCTGGGCCTGGGCCTCCGCGCGGGCAGAGGCGAAGGCCTGCTTGAGGGAGTGGTCGCCGGGAAAATTGGCATCTCTTGGCAAAAAAGTTCCCAAGGAGCGCGGGAGAGCTCGGCGTAGAGTGGGCGTCCAGTAAGTGTTTATAAATAGCTATTAGCCCGGCTTTTGTTGTGTATTTGTTTTGTTCTGTGTGGAGGACCTGCGTAGGCACAAAAATTGGCCTTCAACCACCGGTCGACAGCTCTAGGGAGAAGGTGGCTAGGTTGTAGGAGTTCACTTAGGGAAGAAACAGACGCTGGCCGCACCTTCCTTCCCTGGCAGCCCCAAATCACGAGCCCCAGAGGTGTTTGAACTCGAGAGACGCACAGAACAGTCAAGGAATCACATATTGAAGAGCCTTGCCAGGCGTTGCAAGTGTGAGTGGATTTTGTTGGAAACGATGTAGGCGCACTCTCTGCTGGAGGGGAACTTCGAATCCTACGACACACCAGTTAACTAGGTTACCTGTTTGGTGGGGGAAGGCACAGGCTCTGCTTTTGACTTTATGCTTCTTTTATTTCATATTTTTTACAAGACGTATGCATTTCTTTTTCATTTAAAACACATTAATGATTTATTTTCACCAACCAGGAACTACTTTGGAACTACCTTTAGTCCCTCCAAAACTAATGATTAGCCGGTTCTAAAGTCATTTCTTAAGTCACGTCGCCCAGAAACTCTCTACACCCACCGCACGCCTTCATCACTCATACTCAGTGCTTCATTCTATCCTCCACATCACTGCCTGGGCCATTCCCTCTTTTACCAGAAAGCTCCTTAAGCTCCAAACTGGTGTTCTCTTACTCCTGGGATTTATGAAGACCAGTTTTAAGGGAATTCATTTCCACATCTTCCACTGCTGTATGTTCTATTTTCGAAAATTGCCCAGCTTAAGAAAGGAGCTGAGGACACAGCATCCCCTTTCAAAACTGTCCTCCCACCTTAAAAAAGAAAGTCAAAATTCTCACCCATTACTAATGTGCATTGGATCAATGCAGTACTTCCCCAGCAATCCAAAAGGGACAATTCAAAAATCGGTATCTATGCTGAGAAAGTAAATGCCTTTAGTGAATGGATATTAAATTATTTTTCAAGTCAGATAGTTTTCAGATCTTTTCTGTCAATGAAACTGAAGGAAGATCTGTCAGCTGATAGATTACAAAACATGATTTGGTAATAGATCAATATGTGATTCTTAGGTAATATACCTCAGAAGAAGTTTTTTAAAAATTGACACATAGTTATAACTAAACTTCTTCCATTCCGTCTGTATTAGTTACCTATTGCTGTATAACAATATCACCACAAATATAGAAGCTTGAAACAACAAACATTTATGATATTACAGTTTCTCTGGGTCAGGAGTCCAGGCATGGCTCGGCTGGGTCCTCTACAAAGTGAGGCTGGAACAAAGGATCTGCTTCCAAGCTCATGTGGTTGTTGGCACCATTCAGTTCCTTGCACGCTGCAGGACTGAGGGCCTCGGTCCCTTGCAGGCTGTTGGCTGGAGACCCCCTCTGTTCCTTGCCATGTGGTCCTCTCCATAGGGAAGCTAACAATATGGCAGCTTGCTTCTTCAAAGCCAGCAACGGGGAGAGTCTCAGCAAGACACTGGTTTCTTTTTTTTTTTTTGAGACGGAGTCTCGCTCTGTGCCCCATGCTGGAGCATAGTGGCCGGATCTCAGCTCACTGCAAGCTCCGCCTCCCGGGTTTACGCCATTCTCCTGCCTCAGCCTCCCGAGTAGCTGGGACTACAGGCGCCCGCCACCTCGCCCGGCTAGTTTTTTGTATTTTTTTTTAGTAGAGACGGGGTTTCACCGTGTTAGCCAGGATGGTCTTGATCTCCTGACCTCGTGATCCGCCCGTCTCGGCCTCCCAAAGTGCTGGGATTACAGGCTTGAGCCACCGCGCCCGGCCGACACTGGTTTCAATCTTATGTAACATCATCACATACACAGTGTCACTCATACTCTGTCACCTTTGCCATACATTGCTGGCCAGAAGCAAATCACAGGCGCCACCTACACTGAAGGGGAAGGAAACACAAAAGCTTGAACACTAGGAGGCGGGGATCATTTGGGGCCTGTTTAGAATCTACCACACCATCTATTTATTTATGCAAATGATATTCCCTATAAGCTCAACCTCTTCTCAGAATTTCCCTTCAGGTTCCCTTCACCTTTTTACTTAAGGGAAACCCAACTTTGCCCTGGGACACTGCTCTTTCTTCCACCTATCAAGTAGTGGCAACGGTGTTTTCAACCTTCAGCCTCTTAGTGCCTGGAGGTGAGGTAGGTCTCCTTCTTGCTTCTCAACATTGCTTCCAGGCCGTCCCCCTCCTCCTCTAAACCAGCAACTTTAAATCTTGCTATCCAATACCTCTATCGCTGACCTTACCCCACTTCATCTCTGCACAATTTGCTCCTGTCAGTCACTCCAATGCCACTTCTGTCCTAGTGCTAGGTGGTTATAAGATCTTCCCAGTACTCTGGCCTCTCAGTTCCTTTTATTCTTCAAGGATTTTCTCTCATTGCTTCAATTTTATGATCTTACAGTTTCTCTGGGTCAAGAGTCCAGGCATCACTTGGCTGGGTCCTCTACAACGTGAGGCTGGGACGAGGATCTGCTTCCAAGCTCATGTGGTTGTTGGCAGCATTCAGTTCCTTGCAGGCCTCAGGACTGATGGCCTCAGTCCCTTGCTGGCTGTTGGCTGGAGACCCCCACTGTTCACCATTAACTTCAGGTAGACTGTTAGTGCTGTCCAGCAATTCTCTTACACTTCTCTGCTCCACTCTTCTGGATTTTGTACCTTCTCTGTCCTCTAACTTACACATCCTCCCCTTGATCATTCTGGATTTTGTACCTTCTCTAACTTCTAACTTGCACATACCCTAACTAAGCCACTTCCTCCCATGGTCATAATCACAGTAGCCTTATCGAACTCTGCAACTTCTTCATTATCTCAGTTTCAAACATCTCATACCCTGATCACCACCTCGGTTTTCCAGGTCACTCCCTGTAGTACTCTAACTGCGACAATTCTTTAACCCCTCATATCTGCTCTCACCCAGCCTCAACCCCTGGCCAATCACAATCACTCTTACACATGCCCTCAGCCCCCTTGCCTTTCTCTCCCTTTGTTGTGCTTGCCTGGCAAAGCCACAACCCTGATTCAAGCTAGCGCCCTGAATGTGGCGAGAGAAGAATGCAATCACACTGACTACTTTCACTTTAATTTCATCACCAGGAACCTCAGGCAGACCCCTTAGTGCTGTCCAGCAATTCTCCTTCCCTCCTCCATTCTTCTGGAGTTTGTACTTTCTCTGTCCTCTTAAGTTGCACATCCTCCCCTCCATCATTCTCAATTAACAGCCTTGTTTGAGAAAATTGAAGCAATAAGAGAAAAAATTCCACAGAATCTCAGCATCACCCACACCCACATGCCAGCCTCTACTTTGCCTTCCCCACCCTCACATGGTTGAATTGCCATGCTCCTAGCTAAAGGAGCATTGTCACCTCACCAACACATAGATTCCAGTCCTATCTTGCCTAATCAGTATCCTCACTGTCACTCCAGCAATTATCCCCCTATTCTGTATTATCAATATTTCTCTACTGTGTCATTCTGGTAAGTTTACCAGCAGCTGTGATTTTTCCAATCCTACAGATTTTTCTCTTGGACCTATTTCTACTGTCAGCTATCACCCATTTCTCTACTCCCTTTACAAGAAAACTTCTAAAAGAGTTTTCTATACTTTATCTGCAGTTCTTCTCCCATTCTACAACAGCAGAATACATCCCATACAATACCATTTATATAAAGTTCAAAAACATGTCAAGCATGATATGTATGTTAAGACTCCATACATACGTAGTAGAATCATTACATGTGAGGTACACATGTGGTGTATTTTAGGTCATCAGCTGAGTGTTAGGTCTCCCATCCTCTCTTAAACTCCATTCATGCTTTCATCCTTACCACACTATCAAAACTACTCTTGTGAAGGCCAACAAAGAACTTCACGCTGGCTAAACCCAATGATCTAGTCTCAGTTCTCATCTTGATTGACTTATCTGTAACAGCTGACACAGCTAATCACTTGATTCTCTTATTTTTTTTAACCACATCCTCTTGGTTTTTCTCCTTCATTCATGGTTCCTCCTTCCCTGTCATCTTTGCTGGATTCCATCTCTTCTCTCAAACCCCTTAACTGAGGCTCATTCCTTGAACTCTTTTTCTTTTTTTTTTTTTTTTTTGAAACAGAGTCTCTCTCTGTCACCCAGGCAGTAGTGCAGTGGCATGATCGCAGCTCACTGCAACCTCTGTCTCCCAGATTCAAGCAATTCTCCCTGCTTCAGCCTCCCAAGTAATTGGGATCACAGGCACCCGCCACCACACCCGGCTAATTTTTGTATTTTTAGTAGAGACAGGGTTTGGCCTTGTTGGCCAGGCTGGTCTTGAACTCCTGACCTCAGGTGATCTGCCTGCGTCAGCCTCCTAGAGGGCTGGGATTACAGGCGTGAGCCACTGTGCCTGGCCCCTTGAACTCTTTTTAATCTATATACATTTCCTTGATCTCATCCAGTCTCCTGACTTTCAGTACTATCTAAGATATATGATATCATCATATATGATGACAACTCCTAAATTTATATCTCCAGCTCAGACCTCTTACCTGAACTCCAGATTCTGATATCCTCAAACACGTCACAAACTGAACAATATTCTCCCTCAAACCTGTTGAGCCTACTAGCTTTCCGATCTCATTTGATAACTCTATTGTGCAAGTTGTTCAGACCAAAAACCCTGAGTAGTTTCACTTTAATTTCATCACCATGAACCTCAAGTAAATCCTTAGTGCTGTCCAGCAATTCTGGATTCCCCTCGTTTTCTCACACGCATGTCTAATCCACAGAGCATCCCTAACCACCTCCACTGCTACTCCCTGGTCTGAGCCACCATCATCTCATCTTTGGATTCGTCTTCTAAAAGCTCTCCCTGTTCTCATGCTTGCCTCTTCCCAATATAATAGCTAGAGTGATCGTTTTAAAACGTAAGTCAGGGCTGGGCGCGGTGCCTCATGCCTGTAATCCCAGCACTTTGGGAGGCCGAGGCGGGTGGATCACGAGGTCAGGAGATCGAGACCATCCTGGCTAACACGGTGAAACCTGGGTCTACTAAAAAATACAAAAAAATTAGCCGGGTGTGGTGGTGGGCGCCTGTAGTCCCAGCTACTCGGGAGGCAGAGGCAGGAGAATGGCGTGAACCTGGGAGGTGGAGCTTGCAGTGAGTGGAGATTGCGCCACTGCACTCCAGCCTGGGCGACAGAGCGAGACTCCATCTCAAAAAAATAAATAAGTCAGATATCTTCTCTCTGCTTAAATCCCTACATTAAATGATCCTCATTTCATTTAGAGTAAAAATCTACATCCTTACAATAGTCTAAAGGGTTCTATAAGATCAGTACCACCACTCCACCCCTGAGCATTACTTCTCTAATCTCATCTCCTATCAGTCATTCTCCAATATGTTCTAACCTTCCCGATGTCTTTTCTAGTCCCTAGAAGATGTCAGCCATGCTCCCAAGTTAGGGCCTCTGCACTGGCTGTGCCCTCTGCCTTGTACATGTTTCCCCCTGATATCTGCATTGCCAACTCTCTCACCTCCTTTGGTCGAAAGTTACCTCATTGAAGCCTACCCTGACCTTTTAAAAATCACAACCCATTCTTAACTTTCACAGTACACCTAAAGCCCCTTTACCCTGCTTTCTCTTTTGCTATAGCACTTCTGACATACTATATGATTTACTCATGTGTTGTGTTTATTGTTTATTGCCTATTACCCCCGACTAGAATGTAAGCTCCATGAGGGCAAGGATTTATCTGTAGTATTTACCAGTGTATCACAAGTGCCTAAAGTAGCTATTGACACGTAGGAGATGCTCAATAAATATTTGTTGAATGAATGAACACGGTATTTTGTGTTTCTATCCATAGAAGTGAAAACTAGGACTAGGTTTGACCCAATTCTATTTCATTCAGCAAAAATATCCTTTAATTTTAATAGATACCAAAATATGTAATACTTTGTGTCATTTAGATCAATTAGGTATTAAAATTATGCAATCAAAATGAGCTTTTTAAGCTTATCAGAGTCAGTCAAGAATTTTCTTTAAAAAAAAAAATTGTAGGGAAATGCGGTAGGTTGATCAATAAAAGACTCTCCAGCTTAAAATATTATATTAAAATGTTCAGAGGTAAGTGGAATGGAAGTACAAGATAAGAAAAATAAAGACTGATGTAAAATTTACTTTAAAGAAAAGCTTGTTCATGTATTTTTTAAATGGATGATAGATGCATTATGATCTTTAAATTTCCTTGGATACATTTAAAGAATGATGTAGCAATCTTATTTTAAAATGCCAATACTTAAGCCAGAAATAACAAACCTTATTAAATAACAGGTTTGTTAAATAATAATTTATAATTTAAATTAAATAATAATTTAAACTTGTGATGAAACATTTTAGATATGACCTTTAAAAGTACAAGAAGAAACAGTTTTAGCCAAGCATGATGGCTCATGCCTGTAATCCCAGCTACTCAGGAGGCTGAGGCGAGAGGATTGCTTGAGCCCAGGAGTTTGAGGCTGCAGTGGGCTGTGATCATGCCACTATACTCCAGCATAAGTGACAGAATGAGACCCTATCTCTTATTTAAAAAAAAAAAAGGAAGGAAGGAGAGAGAAAGAAAAAGGAAAGAAAAGAAGGAAGAAAGAACAAAACACAGTTTTTCAAATTTCTTATAGGAGAAAAGCAAGCAAGAAATCTTGAAGACCATAGTTCCAAAGCACTCAAAGGGAGCCAAGCTACTGCCAGTTCCACATAGATCTCTGATGGGGCAGGCAAAGGCTTGAAAGGTTTATTTATTTAATAAATAAATAATTTTATTTAATGGTTTTATTTATGGTTTCACCTCTTATGAATAGGAGCTTTCTAAGGGTGAAGAGAATATAGAAGTTTAATCTTTTCATCCTAGGGATGGAGACAGTGCTCCTCCCTCAAGCAAAGGACCTCCTGGCACAGGTTAGCATCATGATATTTTAGTGTCAACCCAATGTTTTGGGTTTGGTTTTGTTTTGTTTTTTAGAGATAGGGTCTTGCTGTGTTGCCTTGGCTGGACTCAAACTCCTATGTTCAAGTGATCCTCCTGCCTCAGCCTCCTGAGTAGCTGGGGACTACAGGCACGCACCACTGCACCCAGTTTAACCCAGTGATTTTTAAAATAATTCCAGTTACTCCCGAAAATTACTTAACATCGATTAACCTAAACATTACAAGTGATTCCCACATTCCTAAAAGCACTAAAATAAACTCTGTCATCTCTTTGGCTTAAAGTATACAGCCATAGAAATGTATTACCTATTCAAAATATTAGGTTGAAACTTGATTCAAACTTGAGATTCAAAATGACTGGAATCCAGGCTGTGTCTGGAATATCTTTGTTCCTGTCCTTAGGATTCAGTGGTCCTCTAGGAAGGGTGCCCTGCTATGTCAGAGTTGGCTGCCCTTTCTTTCTGCTCCCAGACTAGGCTGTGAGTTCCCTGAAGATAGAGGTTCTCCTTCCCCCACATTCTCTGAGTGCCCAACACTGGGCTTGCCCATGGCAAGTGTCAGAGAAGTGAGAGATGAGGCTGGGAAGATGGATCTGGGGCCAGGCAACAAAGGAAGCTGTGCTGATGAATTGAACTCCATTCAGGATCAGATATGCTTAGATTTTTTTCTTCTTTTTTTATAATCTTATTGAGGTATAATTTACATATTATAAACTTGACACAGTGGACAATTTGATGCATTTGGGCAAATATATCCAATGTGCAACCACCACTACCAATCAAATATTAGAACACCTCTGTCCCTCCAAAAAGTTCCCTTATGCCCCTTTGAAGTCAGTGCCACCTCCCAACCATATGTTCCTGTCCCCAGGCAACCACTGCCATGCTGTCTGTTCCTAAGGCTTTGTTTTTTCTAGAATTTCACATAAATGGAATATTTCCATATGCAGTCTTTTGTATTTGGGTTCATTCACTCAGTGTGTTTTTGAGATCCAGAATGTTACTGTGTATCAGTAGTTAGTTCCTTTTTATTGCTTAGTAGTATTTCATTTTATGTATCTGCAAATCCACAGAAACAGAGGTAGATTAACAGATTAGTGGTTATCAGGGGAATTGGGAAGTATAGGGTTTCTTCATGAGGCGATGGAAATGTTCTGGAATTGGATAGTGCTGAGAGTTGTACAACCTTTTAAATATACTGAGAGACACTGAATTATACACTTTGAAATGGTTAAAATGGTGAACTTTAGGAAAATTTTATGCTTAAAAGCTAGATTTTAGCAAGCACCACAAGCATGTTACAAGTGAATAATCTTTGCAGTCTCACTGACTTGATTCAAGTCCCCATGTCACTCCTTACTAGCTATGAGACCTTGGACAAATGATTCTAAGTCTCAGATTCTTCTTCTGTGAAGTAGGGGTAAAAATACAGCCCATCTCACAGAGCTGCAGTAAAAACAAAATGAGACAATGCGTGTGAAGCACTTGGCATGGCGCTGACAAGTGCCCGATCAGTGGCAGCTTCTTGTTTAATCCACCTGCACCTGCCATGTGTCAAGCCCATTACGTGTCTTCATCTATTTGATTCAACAACAAGGAGGGACTATTCCCAATTTAATAGTGATGAAACTGAACCATTAAGAGATTAAAAAGTAACTTCTTCCCATATTGAGGGACATTCTGTAACATAACTAGTCTATAATTTTCAAAAATATCAATATCATAAAAGACAAAGCCTGAGGAACTGTTCCAGATTAAAGGAGACTAAATACACAGGATAATTAAATGTCATACATGATCCTGAATTGAATCTGGGGAAAATTTTTGCTACAAAGGACCTTATTGGGACAATAGACATGATTGGAAAATAGCTTAAAGATTAGACTATAGATATATAATAGATTATAGATTAAATATAATAGACTGTAGATTAGATAATAGTATTGAGTCAGCGTTAGGTTTCCTGATTTTGATACCTGTAGCATGCAGGCCAGAACTAGGGCGAGACAACAGAGGTTCCTAGGGTACAAAGTTGAAGGAAGCCTTCTTGAAGGGCCACCCAGGCTCAGGCCTTGTTAGCCTCCCTCTAGTTCTAGTCCTGGTGTTGTCGTGTAGGGAAATGTCCTTGTTATCGGAGCTACACACTGAAGTCTTGAGGGTAAAGACATGCCAGTATATACAATTAACTCTCTAATAATTCAGGAATAATCATCATACATAGGTAGAAAGAAAAAAAAGATAAAGTGTACATTGCAAAATATTAACAGTTGGTGAATCTAGGTAAAGTATTTACAGAAGTTCTTTGTACTATTATTGCGACTTTTCTGTGAGTTTGAATTTTTTTTTTTTTTTTTTTTTTAATTTTAGGTCACTTGTCCCTGTGATGAAGTTCACAGCAGAGCTGGAATTTGAACTCTCTGCCCACAATGTGTGGCATGGTGCCACCCTGCAACCCAGATAGCTCTACCCTGAAGCCAGGGCTGGGAGGGCCTCCTGATCAGATGCTCAGAGCAGCGTTTCTCCTACTTTAACATGCACACAGATCACTTGGGGAGCATGTTAAAAAGTCCATCCTGATTCCTTGGATCTGAGGGTGGGCTGGAGACTCTCCATTTTTAATAAGCTCTCAAGTGAGGCCAATACTGCTGGTTCCAGAGGCAGAGTCCTAGACTCCAGGGTCTAGACCTATGTAGGGCCTAAAATCCAAAATGTATTGGGAAGGGGAATAATGGAACACTAAATTATTTAGGAGACAGTTCACAGTCATGATTCTACCCACCTAAAATGCTTTTTGATAAAAGTTGAATTTTCAGACATCATTTCCATTGAATAAACATGTGGAGTGACCCTACTGGGTGCCATATCTTAGAATTCAGAATTGAATGGCAATGGATATGAACTAAAACAGAGTTTACTCAGTCTTTCCCTTCCCCCAGTAGACGCCAGATCAGACTTACATCTAGACAGATTTTAGTCCCTCAGGTGAATTTGGCATCTAACAGTTTCCCTCAGTGTCACAGGTACAAGAGAGAACATCGCAAGCAGGGAGTGCTGGAAATGACAAGTTCATCAAAAACAAAAAACCTGCCAAGCACAGTGGCTCACGCCTGTAATCCCAGCACTTTGGGAGGCCAAGGCAGACCATTTGAAGTCAAGAGTTTGAGACTAGCCTGGTCAACATGGCAAAACCCCATCTCTGCTAAAATACAAAAATTAGCCAGGCATGGTGGTATGTGCCTATAATCCCAGCTGCTCAGAAGGCAGGGGCAGGAGAATCACTTGCGCCAGGGAGGCAGAGGTTGCACTGAGCTGAGATTGCACCACTGCACTCTAGCCTGGGCAACAGTGCTATGGTGTCATTTCAGTGATAAAATCTAGTGAATATCTGTGTTACTTTTTTTAGCTTTCAACTATGAGGAGGAAAACAATCTACCTAAACAACACCAAATTATTTTCATATTCTTTAAACATTTTTCTTATTTATTTATTTATTTATTTATTTTTGAGAGAGAGTCTCACTCTGTCACTCAGGCTGGAATGCAATGGCACGATCTTGGCTCACTGCAACCTCCGCCTCCCAGGTTCAAACAGTTCTCCTGCCTCAGCCTCTTGAGTACCTGGGATTACAGGTACTCACTACCACACCCAGATAATTTTTGTATTTTTTAGTAGAGATGGGGGTTTCACCATGTTGGCCAGGCTGGTCTTGAACTCCTGACCTCAGGTGATCCGCCCACCTCGGCCTCCCAAAGTGCTGGGATTACAGGCATGAGCCACTGCGCCTGGCCTCTTTAAGCATTTTTCTTGGGAGACAACCTTGAGGAAAAATGATTAACTTTAGCTTAGACCAAAATCACAGTTATTATTTTTTTTTAAACTTTTAAGAATAATCAAGAGTTACCTTTTTGAGGTAAGAATTAGGCCCAGCAAATGGGTATTGAAGAGAGAAGGAGGCTGAGTTCCTGGGTGAGCACAGACCACATGTCTGCTCCTCAGGACAAGCTGTGTGTAAGGGGCAGAGAAGGGAGGGGATTCCAAGATGGAAAATCCATCACTGCTCTGAGGCTCCCAGAACACTTGCCCTTCTTAAGGGTCTGTTGTCCCTTTCTCCCAGAGCTGCTGCTGCCTCTCTGCTTTTCCTTCTTCCCCTTTCCTTTCCCTAGGCAACTTTCGCTTCCCCGGCACTTCTGACATGCTTCTCCCAGCTGCTGCCCTTGAACTGCCACCCCCTTCCTTCCCTCTGTGCCAGCTCCCAGGATGAGCTGGGGCACAGTGCTTTCTCAGGTTGAAGGAGCCTCCTCCAGGGCTCAAGTACCAACGCATCTACATCTTTAATCAGGAAGGAAATAAGAGCACCACATAACCCTGGCCATAGGTGTTTCCCTCCCTCCTCTTCAGGGAGGCTGGTTCCCGGGTCACCCCCTACCTGGTTCAAAAATAACATCCCTCATGTTTAAGAAAAATGCTGTGGTTCAAAAGCCCCTCTGGGCCCAGCTGCCTTCCCCAGTACACAGATCATCCCCATTGTCAGGGAGCTGCAAAGTGGCTCTGAACTTGCCAGAGGCTATACTTTTTAGTTAGAATGCGGGTCCTGACTGCAGGCCTAACCACAGTCCACAAAAGCTCTTCAGAAAGTGTCCTTTGTTGGTAGGTATGACACAAAGGCCCAGGAATGTGGCTTACACAGTCCTGACTCTACAGCTGGCCCTCCATCCTCACTGCTCTCCCAGGAGAAGGTGGGAACTGGCTTCTTCAGCCAAGGACAAAGCCACGGTGGACAATCGCAGGTCCAGGCCCAAGGTTTGCCCTCCCTCCTGCCTCCATCTTTACAAATCTCACTCATGCATGAGGCCAACTCCCCTCCTACTGATGACTCCATCTCCTCTGCTGATCTCATCCAAACAACCTCAAGCCAGTCCACTGGCACTTGATTTTGTAGTCTTGTGTGTATACATTCCACTTCATTATGAGACAGTAGCATAGAGGCTAAGATAATGGATGGGCTTTGAAGTTAAATGGACAAGCATTCAAATCCTGGCTCTATCTTGTTGCTAAAACAGAATACCTGAGACTGGGCACTTTATAAACAATAGAAATTTATTTGGTTCATGGTTCTGCATGCTGGGGAGACTAAGAGTATAGCAGCAGCATCTGGTGAGGGCCTTTGTGCTTCATCATAACCTTACCTCTTAATGCTATCACAATGACAATTAAATTTCAACATGAGTTTTGGGGGGATGTTCAAAACCATAGCAATGGAACACTAAACAATAAAAATGAAATGAGTTACTGGCACATTCAAAAACATGGTGGTTGGGCCACCCAATTGGGGCATCTATATATTATATACAGTTAAGTGATTAGTTAGGCTTATATAATATTGGGAATTTTTATGTTTGGAATATTTATGTTGCACCTGTGGTGTTAACCATTCCTATGGTGCTGAAGCGGTATCATTGTCTGGGGTAAACACCTGGGGTTCATTGTCTCGTGCTAAGAAGATTAAGGACACCGACACACAAGTAGTGAGTTTGGAAGCAAAGGTTTAATAGGCAAAAGAAAGAGAAAGGAGAGCAGCTCTCTTTTATGAGAGAGAGAGAGAGAGAAAGAGAGAGAGAGGCATTGTCTGAAGGGAAAAGCTGGCCTGCTGCAAACTGCAGCAGATTTTATAGGCAGGCTTAAGGAGGTGGTGTCTGATTTACGAAGGGCCCACAGATTGGTTTGACCAGGTGTGATGTTTACATAGCACACGGAGATGGCTGGTTGCCCCACCCTAATCTTATTATGCAAATGGTTTCCACTTGGCCAGTGCCGTCTTGTCTGCTCCTTACTGTACACATGGCTAGCAAAGAGAAGGAAACATGGAGCTGCCATTTTAATCATGCCTAGTCCCAGGTAGCCTTTTCCTATGGGCACAACTGCCGGCATTCACCCGTGCAAGCTTCCAGCTTGCTTGTCTATGCCTGCAGCTTGATTTTACAGGCTGCTCTTTGTTAGAAAAGAAAATGATTTGGGGGCTGCTTTTCATTAAAAGGAGAACCTTACCAAGGACATCCTTACCTTCACAACCTGCGTAAGTAATTTCTTTTTAACTCCTTTATCAGTATTTCTCAGATTTACCTGATAATAATTACCTGGTGCGGTAGGCTGAATAGTGGCTCACTATGTCCATGTCCTAAACCTTGGAACATGTGAATGTTACCTTGAATAGTGTTTTTGACTGTTTTCTGTTGCTATAACAGAATATCTAAGGCTGTGTAATTGATAAATAAAAGAAATTTATTTCTCACACTTCTGGAGTCTGGAAAGTCCAAGAGCATGGCACCAGCATCTGCTCAACTTCTGGTGAGGGTTTTCATGAATAGTGTTTTTGACTGTTTTCTGTTGCTATAACAGAATACCTAAGGCTGGGTAATTTATAAATAAAAGAAATTTATTTCTCACACTTCTGGAGTCTGGAAAGTCCAAGAGCATGGCACCAGCATCTACTCAACTTCTGGTGAGGGTTTTCATGGTGAAGGGCATCATATGGCAAACGACCACAGACATGCAAGCTCAAGTCTCTCTTCCTCTTCTTATAAAGCCACCAGTCCCATCATAGGAGCCCCATCCTGATGACCTCATCTAATACTAATTATCTCCCCAAATCTCTGCCTCCAAATAGCATCAAGATATGAATTTGGGGATTTAGTTTTCAACACACAAAATTTGAGGGACACTTCCAAACCATATAGCATATGGCAAAAGGGAGTTTGCAGATGTGACTGAGTTAGGATCTTGAACTTGGAGATTATGCTGGATTATCCAAGTGGACCCATGTCCAATGGTCCTTGTAAAAGGGGCACAGAAGGAGTCAGAGTTTGAGGAGAAGGTGATGTGATTCTAGAAGCAGTAACTGGAGTGATGCTCTTCCAAGATGGTGGAACGGGACACACAGGCAGGCACCAGAAGCTGAAAAAGGCAAAGACATGGATTCTCCCCTCAGAGCCTCCAGAAGAAACCTGTCAACACCTTGAACTTTAGCCCAGTGAAACCGATTTTGGGTTTCTGACCTCCAGACGATAATAAATCCATGTTGTTTTAAGCCACTAAATTTGTGTTAATTTGTTACAGTGGCAATAGGAAACTAATACACCTGGGGTACTTGCTAAATATACAAATTACCATCCTTCTCCTATATAAATTCTGATTATGGAGGTCTACGCTGGGAACCAAAGAATCTGTTTTTGTTTTTTTGTTTTTTTTTTTTTTTGAGACGGAGTCTCGCTCTGCCGCCCAGGCTGGAGTGCAATGGCCGGATCTCAGCTCACTGCAAGCTCCGCCTCCCGGGTTCACGCCATTCTCCTGCCTCAGCCTCCCGAGTAGCTGGGACTACAGGCGCCCGCCACCTCGCCCGGCTAATTTTTTGTATTTTTAGTAGAGACGGGGTTTCACCGTGTTAGCCAGGATGGTCTCGATCTCCCGACCTCGTGATCCGCCCGTCTCGGCCTCCCAAAGTGCTGGGATTACAGGCTTGAGCCACCGCGCCCGGCAAGAATCTGTTTTTTAACAAGGGTCCAGGGGATGTTTATCTTCAGGTCAATTTGGGAACTGTTGCTGTAGTTAAGTGGGATAGCTCAGCTGAATTCTTTACCACTTTTCTGGTGATGGACTCCATCTGCTTTGGCTACAAGTGTGAAGACATAACCAAGGATTGGCCAGTCCTAGCACTCCATTGCTCAAGAGCTTGAGACTGGTTCACAGGCAGACATGTGGTCCACACTGACCAATCACAATCTTTCTCTAAGACATTATACATGGAAGCCATCAGAGAAAAGTGTTCTTTCTTTGTGCTGGGATTTCGTTTAACAGTGGTACCCCAGCATGGAGTA